TTTTTTTTTTTTAAGCTTATGTTTTAGGGATTTACTAATCCAAGATCCAGTCATGAATTACGTTTGAGGATTGAGCTCTAATGTGGTTTTTTTTTTTTTTTTTTTTTTTTTTAAAAGCTTTTGTTTTTAGGGATTTGAGATGTTGTACAAATTGTGATAATTTGGGACTTTGAGCCCTAATTTGGATGGGATTTTTTGGTGGAATTTTGCCAAGTCAAAATTTGGGGATTTTTTATTCAATGGTTTTTGTGGTATTTTATTCTAATTTGATTCAATGGATTTGAGCATAAACCCTAACAATATACTTGGGGATAAAAATTTATTTTTTAGGGAAGTTTTTTTTTTTTTTTAATATACTTTTTAGGAAACATGGAAAAAACAATTACATAAAATAGGAAAAAAAAATTCATCTTTTACAAAAAAAAAATACAGGTAAAAAAGGCAAAGTTTTTTTGGGCCACTTTTTTCATAAAGATCAATAAGGCAAGTTTTAAACGTTTATGTGAAACAAAACGTGTATTTTTGCCGATCTTTTCAGAAAGTCATAGTTTTAAACGTTTTTGAAAAAAAATCCGTATTTTTTAAGAAGTAGTGTTTTAAACGCCGACTTGCTAACTATGATATCTACTTAACCAACCACTGATGCAACTATATATAGGACTTACTAGCGAAAATAACCAAATCGCCTCATAAATATAAGTTGCAAGATAGTGGTAAGAAACATAAATTGTCATATCCTTGAGAGGCTCATATCAATGTTGTACGATAAACTACAATCCGCAATTGCATTGTTAGTTCCCTATCACATATGGCACCTGGTGATTGAGTTCGCAAAGTTTTCCTTGGTTAGAAAAAGCTATAAAAGAAAATACACAATAAAGGATCATCTTTTATATGCCTGAATTTGCTTCTAAATGTTTATTGATTTTTCTGTTGATTACAATTTTATTTCCAGCTGTAACAATCAACTTCTATCAGAAACATAAAGTTCAGTAGATGAGAAATGTAAATTGCTGCTTTTGGATGAAAATGCAATCAATATTCAACTCATCGTAGTATGCAGACTGACCAGTATAACCAAAGCTGCATGCTTATCTCTCCTGCAATTACTGGGCTTCCCATTCTTTGACATGTTCTCCGCAATGGCCATTGGAACTTCCAGCGTCTGCCTTGCAATCCTGACATACAAGTTATAAAATTTTGTTATTTAATCGAAACAGTTACATCACTAAGGTGCATCCAGTAATCCTCATCAGCATCGTTATACATGGATAAGATAAAAGGTCACAAGTCGTTCAAAGACCTGCTTTTCATGGAAATCAAACCATAAGAGAAGGTATTGCTCCGGAAGCAGAGAAGCACAAATAGATCAAATGAAGCCCATACTACCAGTGTTTTGTGAATGAAAACTAGTATGATGCATTCTTCTCTTTTAACTTTTGCAAACACCAAGGAAAAAACAGAAAAACCAACATTCACAAATAAATTTAAAAATACCACAAAATGGGAGGTTGCAAAGGGATAATATGAATGGGGCACATGTGTACAGTTACAGTTGAATTCCATTAAGGGGTGGTCAGTTGGCTAGTAGGGTCTTCTCCTTCTGTAAGCAAGTAACCTGCAAAGGACTGACCACTAAAGGATGCCCACACTGATGGATATCACACCCACAAACACGCAAATGCAACATATGCACACGCACACACACACATGCACACACACATGCACACACACAGATCTATTCTTTTAACTCCATGTGATAACAGTGCCCAAGTCTCTGTCTAGTAGAAGTGCCTTTTCAAATCATCCAGTATATTGCAGCATTTTAGCATCTTCAGCATCCAAGACTGGAAAGCTGAATTTCTGAGGGAGTAGGGGAGGGAACAAGTGGGATCAATGAGAGAATCAAACTTTGTGAAGTAATACGTGCGCGGAACCATGCTTAGATCAGTTAGGTGAAGAACTAGTGGTCACTCTTTACACAAGTTGAATTAAGTCTCTCTCAAAAAATCTGAAGTATATCCATATCTAATAATTTTGAAAATGATATGTCATAAACACAAATTTCGGACCATGTTTTGATGATTTTGGATGTAGTGCTTCCCTGAAACTAACCCTGATCATCTCAAATAAATTCAACAACGTACATCACACATTATTTATTTTCTTTGGCATAATATTCTAGAACAAGTCCATCAAGCACATCTATGTTTGTCTAATCAGTAGTTCCATACTTACATGCATGCCTGTGTGTGTAAGTTCAATTTGTAACTGGCTTTCAATAATTTTCACATTTGCTGGCATTTTAAAAACTCTAGAAGTCAAACCATCAGTTCAGAATAGGGGCTAAGAAAAATTTTCGGGAGATCTATCAAACTACCCTTGAGAGATGCACTATTTTAACATTTTACACATTTGCAACTATACAATTTATAATCATGTGTCTTTTGATGGGTATTTTGAAATTAAATCAAACTATATGGGTAAATCTTAAATAATTAATCTCTCATGGGTATTTTGATAAATTTCCCAAAAATTTATTTAATTTGTCACAATCTTTAAAATGAACACCAAGCTAAATATAGTTAACAAATCTCTCTCTCTTTCTCTCTCTCTCT